AAATACAGCATGAGCTTCCCAATAGCAGCAAGCTCCTTCCTGTTGATATGCCAGCTCCGTTGTGCTTTAGTACTCAGCCATATGCCAGCCTGCTCTGCCAAATCCCACACCTCTGTATTTGGCTTAGAGAGTTCCGGAATAATATCAGATATAGGGACCGTACCATTCACAACCTTGATACACCACCCGTAACCAACTGGGGAAGCATCTACAAAGCACACCAAACTAGAACCACCATAAAACCAGTGTTCACATCGTTGGGCAGAATACTCCTCAAGAGTCGTAAAACACGAGGAAATGATGTTGAAGTCAGCAGAGCCATTCTCAATCGAGAGCAACTCATCTGCCTCCTTCATCCCCTTCCCAGCGATGGACCGGAGTAAATCTCCTGCTAGTCGTGCTTCACAATGCAATCGACAGGGATCCACACCAGTACCACCACAACCGGCAATACCAAGAAGTAGACGAGCAGTCCATTTCATATTGAAAGAACCATCAGGAAATCTAAGGCCCGAAGGAATAGACTTTCTGCAGGACAGCACGAGATTTCCTTCACGAAAGCACCAGTTCAAACCCAAATGCTTGAACTGCATTTCTTTATCAGAATTATGTTGCTTAGATGCAGGCAACTCGAAGCCTGCTTGAAGGAAAACACTCTCCATCATATTCACAAACCGGTCTGCAGCATCAACAGCTTCTCGATCACAGTAGATGGTAATATCATCGAGGTAGATGTAGAAGCTCGCAGTTTGTAGAAGAAGTTGATCCTCGGCACTCAGCTGAGAATAAGCAACATTCATCAAATGTAGCAACACCGTATAAAGGCCTGATGGGCCTACTCCTAGACCAAAGACCATTCTCGAGCTCGAATAGAAGGCACTATGGACCCGTAGACTCACCGGCTTCCTTATATGGATCCGGTAAAAGGCTTGAGCACAGTCCAGAGTACGAATCCTACCACCCGGCCGCCACCTCAGTCTCAAATCATTCAATATTTGAGTGATACTCGGACCATTATAACCACATCTCGGTAATCTTTCATTATAACCCCGAGCATCGATAATTGGCCTACAAGAAGTACTCCGACCAGGACTGGGGAGAGGGAAGACCAAAAGCGATGGACCTTCCCCCTCCTCACCTTTAGATAGCCGCCACCATCCCTTCTTCAGATATCTGCCAAGCTCTTCCTGGAATGCAACAGACTCATCTTTCTTCAACTTGGCGAACAAACCCCATGTATAGTCCCTCCGTGGCCTTGACGATACTTTATCATCACACTTCAAAGGAAGATCAATTTCAGCACAACAAACCTGCTCTGGTGTGTCTTTCTGCTCAGAAGGACGTAAACGTCTCATACGCCATCGGTATTTCTCAGCACCGATCACAGGATACCAACCATCGGTTTCTAGCCGAGCATTAGACAGACCAATCTTAGAGGGATGACTCAGCGTACCACCAGATACGATAAGACCAGGAGCATCAGAGATCTGATTAACTAAGGAAATGGGGTCATCTTCAGCTTCAACTTGGTAGAGATCACTGAGACCATCATCAAAGTCTTCGTTGACGATATTCACTGGATCACTACCCGCTTCACTATTGGCCGTTAATGGCTTCAACTCACCTTTTACGGTGACCGATCGCTCAGACTCACTGTTCACGCCAAAAGACAACGTAACTCCACAATCACACATACTCCTGACACCCAAGATGGCATTCTTATTTCGACCACCTTGAAGAACCCTAAATTGGATTTTGGCAACATCGACCACAGCCACCACCTGTCGAACAGAACCATCGGCCAGAGTAACCCGTAATGACTCAGACACTCCTCGACTAGATGTAGCCAAGCCAAGCTTTTCTACAAGCGATGCAGAAATATAATTATAGTAAGCTCCCGTATCCAGGAGAGCGGACAATATCTTACCCTGACCAAGGGGAATACTGATAGTAGGGCCAGCTAATTTCTCCTTAGTCTTTGAAACAGCACATACAACACAGGGATCATCATCCACAATGTTCAATAAACGCTGAGTAATCTCCACAGTCTCTTCAGACTGCCTAACGTCAGGCTGCTTAGGGGATACTTCAACAGAACTAACGGTGACGGAGGACTTCTCAATAGGAGGCTTAGGAGGACCACTGGCTGTACCATCTTTGAAGTCGGTATGAGCAAACTTACAAGACTTACCAAACCGACATTTCCCAGCTCGTCGCCAATTATAGCATATCTTCTTTTTTACCACTTCTTTAGAAGTACCATTACCAGTCTCAATCACAGAGTTAACCTTTCCCAAGCTCCCACGAGACCCCTCCTTTACCCCAGTGATCATACGCTCACGCATTACCAGTGCAGTTGCCAGTTGGCTATAGGTAAGACGACCACCGGCATTCGCCATACGATCAACAGCAATCTCTTTTACATCTTGTCGGAGAGAGCTTAGAAGGGCAGCAACCAAACGACCATTATCCAAGACTATACTATGAGAGGCCAAGTCCGCTATAGTAGTCTCAAATCGGTTGAGAAAACTTGCCGTGGCCTCTGACTTAGTCTGTCGTAGTGCCAACAGCTCTTGCTCGGCCTTCCATGAACCAGTGTCACCATCCACGCCCGATGTTAACACCTTCAACTCTTTCATAAGACGGTCATACTCCTCCTTCCACTTCTGAGCCGGAGCATTCGGTGGAGGAGCTGTAGGCCTGAGTCGTAGTTGAACATTATCAGCAAGATTCCTCACCAGAGCATAATACCTCAACACGTAGTCATTATAACCACGAGAATCACAGAGGGCATAAAACTTTCGACGCCACGATGGGAAACTACGGGTATCAGTAAAGCCGGAATAACACGAACCGTCGATGATCTTAACGGATTCTACCTCCTTTCGGGCTTCTCTGATAGTCTTCGAATCCACGTCATTTTCCAGTACAATAACATCATCCATTGGTGTAGGAGCAATACCACTACCAACATGCTGATCACCTTCAGATTTAACACCTGCCAGGCGGACACTGAAGTCATCAAGAACTGGATACTCAGCCTTCACAGAATTATACACAGGACGATTTCTTATATCGTCCACCTTAAGAGATGCAGAGAAATCAGTATCAAGTCGCTGTTGAAGAGAACCATGACCGCGAAAGAAAGGAGAATACCAATCAGAGAGAAGAGCCTTACGGGCTGGACTCGTATCCTTCCTTGTAGCAGTAATACGGAATGCCGTAATCTCCTGCAGCACCGCCCGAAGCCGGACTTCTTCGGGACCCAGAACCAAATCCAAAGCATCATTAAAAGCTTGATCGGCCGAGATACCTTCACTACCATCAGTGACAGGACATATGGATTCAAACAACCGCTTCAACTCCGCGTCCAGATCCAAACCTTCAGAAGTGAACCAACTAGAGATCACCTTTGCCCATGAGGTCCCGGTATCGGAGCCAATTTGTTGTGACCCTAGGGAAGGTGAACTCGACATAGCAATAAAGGAGTTGATAAGAGATTTAATAATGATCCATCTATGATTGCAAACACGGAAATATCTAGCTTAGCGTATCACAATCTGAATGGATTACATATCTTAGGGCGATCGCACAAAAAGGGACATAACACTACCATTTCGACAATTAGCGCAGTTATTCTCTCGAAATCGGCCTTGGCCAAGAATCTTTGCATTAGAGCTGGCTTTCTCTTGTTGGAGTCATCGGCTGGCTATGCAGCCTTCTTATAGCAGGGGTTCAGCAGGGGTTCTTATATCCAAGGAACTATATCCTCTGTTGAGAGATGGTCTCTTGTTGCACCGCTTGCAAGTTACGGTCTTGTCCATCAAATTCTTGTCGAAGTATAATTTGTACTTCTCAAAACCATCGTCGTTACGTTTAGCCTCTTTGTCTGAATTGATAATACTATCATAGTACGACGATAAAAATATACTAGTTCGGTGTTGGACACTACCATTGTTCGCTTTGACTCTTTTGATCGGGCTTGTGCAGGGTTTCGAGGACGATTTCAACAGCGGGCGTTTGGCAAACGCCCGATCTATCTAGCGTTTGCCCGGGCCGCAAACGGCCCGGGCATCTCCGGGAGCTTCGTGTATCTAACTCGTTGACTTACAGACTGAGAACAACGAGCCTCCTACTCCTGTGAATTCATTTTGACGCCTTGTTCCACTCGAACTGGGCCCACCACCCCCTCCCTCCGATTCCTGCCCATATTATTATGATCAGTATGTATGATATTATCATAAACCCTCCCCCACTTTGCTGTCTCTTTGAACGGCCTGGACACTCGACACCATTTTGCACCCATCCTCGTGCCCAGCCGTCGGGTCCATCCAAGGTTGCTCGTGACTCGTCAGTCCACAATACCTTTCCGAAGTCTGTCTTCATATTATCCCGCGACCACTGGACCCTCTTTTCCCTGTGAACTTCGGTTCAAATCGGCCTTGGATCAGCCTTTCTAACTTTTGCAATGTCACGTAACATCTTGCATCGCGTGCTTTTCGATCCTGTTTCAACCCCAGCAGCTTTAAAAATATCTTTGCTGGTGCATAGCGGGTTCTTGTTCAGTGCCCGCTTGATATTGGTCCTTTCTCGCTGTGACACTAAAGTTTTGTATGCTCTACCCCGCCGCGTGTACTTTTCCGAAGGATCATTCGTATAACGAATGATTGTACGATGATCTCGGCCCAATTTCTTCGCGATTTCCAGCGTTCTCATGCCATCAGCAAGCCACTTTACTATCATAGCCTTTTCTTCTTCAGTTAGGAAGCTGTTTTTGGCCATCTGGGTTGCGGACAACAGAACTGCTTGAGGAATTTGCGCGCCTGCGCACGGTCATTTTAGCACGCGCCTCAATAAGTCGATCGGGAGTTCGATTTAGCCAACCAAACTCCTAGTGTATACTTGTTATATGGATACATCTATTATGCTGAGAGACTGGTCCTAGGTCTATGAGCAGAAAGGGGACCAGTGGAGGCAGTAATTTTGTCTCGAGTGGCACTAGGGTTACACGCAACAAGTAGGATCCCTTTTCTTTTACGAAATCACGATGAATGGTGGAAAAAATTAGGGACGTAACAGATCATCTGCTACGTCCCCAACTTCTCACTATCTGCTGCTATCTCTATATCAATGATCGCATTATTTATACGATATGTTTTACGATCGTTTCTTACTGATCTTGTAAAACGTTCATTCTTTCTGTTTTGCAATTCGAATTGACACGCATTAAATTTTGATTATGCCTGTTAGGATTAGATAACTCAACAGGAGTTATTGACAAGTGGTTCTTAACTAATGATCAAAACAGTAATCATAAAGTATACGCTAGGCTAGCAAGGGAGACTAGTATCACAAGAATCTGAAATTACAGGAGACACTTGTGTACAATATTTCCTCACATCTCCCCCTGGTTGCTACCCGCAACCAAAGGTAATAAACTAATCAAAAAGCTTGAACTTCGGACGTCCCATAATAAAATCTTAGATTGGCACGATGTTCATCTCGTTCAACGCCAAATTTATCAACGATAGTAACACGAGCATTATCGTTGTGAACAATTAAAACTTTTCACGGTCCTCTCCAACCATCAGTTCAACCATGACCTTTGATTTCCTACCGATTGTTCTCGATCATCTCTAACTTGACCAATCCAATCACGCTGCAATAACACACCTTCCTCTTTAGACTTCAGCTTATCCAAGGTAGGCAACTCTAGCTCAGCATCATCGACCTTCTACAGTGGGTGGGCCATTGATGATATCGTTAAGTTCATAAGAGCGAGATGGATACCTGAGAGTTCAGCTCTATCAGTGTTAGACTTGTCTTGTGCTTTCTATAAAGTACGACTAGCACATAACAAGTACATACGGGTAAAAACTGTTGGTCAGCGTTATTTAAGCAATAGAATAGCATTTGGAGTACGATATGGGCCATGTGCCCTCGCATCCCAAGTATTGGTCCTTTGTAACTCTGTGTTATCTGCCATGTTAGGTCCAGAGGTCACAGCGACTTGTACATCTAGATTAGTAGATGTACTGCCAGGCCTCACTATATTCCCGTACTACGATGATTTTTCTGTACTTGGAGCAAAAAATCTAGTGGAAACGTTTGAAGCTATCCTGTGTAGGATAGCTCCTTCGTTGGGAGTGGAAATACCAGAGAAGAAGAAGACCCACTTGAGGAGTGACTTGGACGTCTCTCACCTCGGTTTGATCTGGAAACTTTCGAGGGGAAATGAACTCTCTATTGATTGCCCCCGTATAGATGCTAGAAAAGTTTTGGTTCCAGATTCATGGAGTAAGCGGGAAGCTTTCGCGCTATGTGGGCGATACTTCGACCCGACATATTGCCACGCAAAAGCTCGTATGGTTATGAACCGATTGCGGGCGTGGTTTGGTCGAGCCACTGAAGGTTGGGATAAGAAGTATAAGCTCAGCCCACTGTTAAATTTGAATTTGCGTGGCTGCTAAAAACCCTCAAGTTCCTACTATCCCACAAAGGATACAAAAGCTTGGAAGATCTGATTCGAGGCTACGTGGAGTAACTATCTTTTGTGATAATACAACAGCAACGACATGGAGTAGTATTCCAGGAGTACAAGTTCGCCCAATAGAAGATATGATATACAGGCAGTTCATAGAATGCATGATGAAGCAGCAGAGCTTCTATGATATGCAAAGAAGGAGTATAGGGTAACTATTGACATCAAGTACTTGCCCGGTCCTTTGAATTCGGTGGCAGACCGATTGTTACGACAAAGCGTGCTTCTTCCTAAACTGGATGATTTTTCTCTTGGCTCACGGACTAAGGCTTCGTTGGGAAACTTACCTGGTAACTGGTAACTTACCAGTAACCATAGGGAACTTTCCAATGCACGGCTCAGATAGTGGAACTCGTGAACGGCCGACCAATGTCATCTACGAACAGTCTCAGTTATCTCAACCTTAAAAGCCGAGAAAGAACGATCATCACCGAATCCAGTAAGTGGTGTTTTTGTTAATGGTACCTTATCCACTCCTCTCAAAGTAGCAGCCAAGTCAAACTCTGACATCATCTTCTTGTAACGGAAAGATTGACTCGGTTCCGAAGAAGGCAAAAACAGAGCATCATAAGAAGTGGTGGCAGGAGCATCCCGCTCAACCTGTTCAACAGAATGGAACCAATCATCCACAGGAGCAACCGGTGCAGAAGGAGGAGGAAAACGAAAGCGACTTGCCCGAAGTCTATCGCCAAAACCGGTCACAAAGATGTTATATTCTGCTGCATCCTGAATCTGCCTTATTGCAACAAACTTCCCGAGACGGTAGGCTCGCTTAACATCTTCAGATGCCTCAGTAAGCTTATCAAGTAAGGCAGGGAAGACGATCGAGGAGTATAGCATAAAAGCATTGATGGCCTTTATGGTAAAATCTGAATCAGACGGAGAGCCAACAACCAAAGTTATAGCACGCTTCAACCGCGTCTCAGTAAAGTTTCCAACTCCTCAACCGTAGGAAAGAAATCCTTCTCCTTCTTAAGCTCAGATACCAGACGTAGAACCAACCAGTCTTCAAGTTTCACAAGATTAAAGGGCTCACTCTTAAAGTAAACTTTATCCAAAATACTTTCTGCGAGCTGTAGGAAGACTTTATCGAAGAGCGCCATGTTAGGATTAGATAACTCAACAGGAGTTATTAACAAGTAGTTCTCAACTAATGATCAATACAGTAATCATAAAGTATACGCTAGGCTAGCAAGGGAGACTAGTATCACAAGAACCTAAAATTACAGGAGACACTTGTGTACAATATTCCCCCACAATGCCATTTATCAGCATACAATACACAGAGGAGAGCAGGACCGTACAGCTTGATGATCTATAGCGTGGCGTTTAGTCACAGGAAGGATTTGTATAGTAACTTGACGTTTTCTTGGAAGGTTGAAAATTCCCAAGATTAGGTTGTCGCTGAGTTCCGACGTCTATGGGCAGTTCTCGAGGGATATATCATCGATCACTCAGTTAAGCTCAGGAGTTCTCTCGCAAAATATAGCAATTTGTCTATGAACTTGGATGGTGTTCAGAAACCATTGGTTTCAAACCAATAAGACCCCCCCCCCCCGGGGGCCCCAGACATGATGTCTGAGACATCCTTCAAATTTTCATGTTGTCACCGACACATGTAGACTACATGATGTAGTCAGGGTTGGTTATTTTTAGCGCGCGAGTTTTTTTCCATTTTTTTCATTCCGTTTTTTTCGCAAAACGGAGCTGAAAAAATAGAAAAAAACCAAAAAATGCCAAAAAATGCCAAAAAATGCCAAAAAATTGCGAAAAAATACCAGAAAAAACACGTAAATTCAAGCGGATGGGATTGTCGCCCAGGCTGACGGGCCTCCAACGGGTTGTTCCCTCATCGAGCCAATTTAAGCGGATAACACTCCATCAAAGGAAGAGTTATCCGCCAGAATCAAAGATGTTCGAATTGCCTGATTGAAAGCTACTCATAGGAGAAGGGAGAAGTTTTTTGCTCGATACTGATTCTCGGCCTCTTAGGAGAAGGGAGAGCTGACTCATCATCGTTCAGTCGCTTCGGTTCGGATCCGACCTGTATTCCAGAAGTACGGTGCGCAGGATTGTACTGAAGTGAGCTTACACTAAGACGCCGAGGATCCTTAATACCCTGACCATGTACAGTGTTAAGATGAGCGACGAAACGTGTCAGGTTGATGAATTGCTCCCAACCGCATAGTACACATCGATAATTTTCCTTTCTCTCGTCGGATCCTCCAGAACCTCTCCGAAAGCCGGTTTCGACGAAGTACTGGTGAATGAGATGTTCGTTCTTACGTGGCCTCCCCATTGAGGTGAAAGAAAATCTCTCTTTTACCAGATAAATGTTCAGGCAGTGTTTGGTCCTACGGCTTCGTACTACGAAGCCGTAAGACCAAGCACTGTAGGCTTCTGAGATAAGGCATTTACACTGCCTTGTATGGAAGAAATTGTCTTAGAACATCCGCTCGTACTTACTATACCTTCATGTTACTCGCTTTAGTCGA